CCAAAATGGTAATCCATTTAATTTATCTGATAATCCTCATTTTCTTATAAATATATACACAGGAAGGAAAGCTTCAGATGAAATTTAGGAGAATTTTTCAAATTTCTTCGAGATCGCTGAAGGCAAATGCAAACATTTCATCGAAAACGTTCTTATTACTGGTTGCCAAAGTTTCTGGAAGCCCGTAAAAAAAGGAAAGGTTACTACGTTTGCGGACACCAAAACTAGAAACCGCCATGTTTTCTAAAAAAATATGTAGGAACGGAAATTATGTTCAGAAGGATAGTAGCAGCAGCTAGATTTCAGTCTCTAAGTTTGAGCGACTTATTGTCTTATGAATTGACTTCGGTTCCGTTGTGCTTATTTTACGAAGATGAAAGTATGCGAAAAACAGCTAAGTCGGATTTAGTATCAAAGTTTGAACCATTTTCAACAGTTGCTTCTCCTCAAATTGATGTTAATTCACTTATGATAGATGGCATGGTACTTATTCAAGGACTTAATGATAAAGCATTCACAACTTTTAATGAACTTGCATCTATTTTTTTGAAGCAAATTTTTTCACTTGGTCGAAGGTATGAAGCACTGAGGATAACAGTGGTTTTTGATGATGAATCGGTCAAGTCTTTGGAAAGACGCAGAAGAGGTTACTTCATAGATGCGTATACGTATGAAGTTTCTGGAAATAGAAAAGTGGTGAAGTTTCAAATTTTTGTAAAGTTGTCGGAAAATAAAGATTCCCTATTGAAATTTGTAGCTGGTTATATTTTGGAACATTCAGCTGACGACTTACAAATAGAAGAAACTCTGATCGTCACTGTCGGTTTTGAAAATCCAGAGTTATGCTTGTCTGTCAACAAGGATGGTGTAACCGAATTGAAAGATTTGAAATCGAATCATAATGAGGCTAATACACGACTCATCATCCATGCTTTATATGAATATCAGATACTTCATCAAAAAAAAGTTTTGGTGAAGTCTATGGATACAGATGTTCTGGTATTACTTATTTACTACTATTCTGTATTTATTGAAGTAAATTCTTTGGAAGAAACCTACCTTTTTATGGAATTAGGACTAGGGAATAAAAAACGGATCATCTCAATATCTGAAACAGAGTAGAAACTGGAAAATGGAGTTTGTAAATGTGTACCAGCGTTGCATGTGTTAACAGGATGCGATACCACAAATGCAATGTTTAAGATCGGCAAAAAAAAACAGCATATGATGTATTTTCTAAAAATCTTGAAGCCTTTAATGAGTTACTCAAACTGAACTTCGTGTCTACAACCGAAGCTGTTAATATTGCCACCAAATTTGCATTGGCCCTATTCAGAAATAAGAACAAGGCCATTCAAACCCTCAATGAATTGAGGTATCAATTGACCACAACTTCCAATAAGTCCGCTTCAGAACTTCCACCGACAGATGACGCATTTTATATTTCTACAACCGTTAAAGTTAGCGACTTAATTTTGTTTTAAAAACTTCGTCAATGTTCTTACTACATTTGATTCGATATAAATATGTATAGAAATTTTCAATATTTCACATTGATCGCCGCAGGGTGAAGTTTTAGATGCACGACTTTGAAAATTCTTTATTCCCAACTTCAAAAAAAAAAAACCTTGAAGCTTTTCCAAATTTCTGAATTGTCATTAGAAGAGCTCATATTTCAAGTATAAGTGTGCAAAAAATCAGAATTTTAGATTGTATGCTTAAATTAATACAATTAGAAAATTTAGTTTTTCAAATTCGAGCTCAATCAAGTTTAAGGCCAATTTCAAAGTCCGGTCCTATTAAAAAAAGTTGTACATTCCCATTTCCTATGCTCCAAAGTATCCTCTACAAGATGGTATAGGTTTCATCTGGTTATAGCTCCGAATCACGCAAAATCATGATTTCATTGTGAATTTATTCTAGCTAGAGATTAAAATTACACTTTCAATCGCTAGGGATTAGAAGTACCCTTTTATTCCCTGTTTCATTTAATTCCCGGGCAATAAAGTTAAAATTTAATCCCGGGGATTGATAGTCCCACTTTACTTTCCTAAAACAGTGATTAAAAGGGTACTTTTAATCCCTAAAGTGCATAAAGGTAATCATTCAAGTAAAACATCCATTCAAATTCAAAATGGGATATTCAGAAGCCAGGCTATTAGGAATAAACCTGAAAAACCTAGTATACTTCAAATCAGGTTTAGAATGCTAATCCAATAGGTCAATAATATACGGGGTGTTCTATTTAAAAAAGTATAACGTATAGCTTTGCTTCGCCACACACTTGTGATAGACACTCTATAGGTACTTGTAACTTACTTCATTGCAAAGTTTCTGATAATACCTACAACGTTCCCATTTGAAATTTCTGGGCATCTCTTCAAACAGGTGAGATAGGTGTAGGTGCAAAATATAGGCAATCGTCTGGTACATAGCAGTAAGTACTCAAAACTTATAGGATAGAACATTTTTTTTGAATGAAAAGTGCTTTTCGTCAGTTGTAGGTAATAACACAAAAGTGGAGTTTGATAGCCCTCGGGCATTAAAGAAACTCATTAAGCCCAAATACGCGGGCGTTATATTGTGCTTTAACGCCCCATTGTGTAAAAACAGTATTAAAAAAATCGTATAATTTTTTATACCAAAGATTTTTATTTATCAAGTGTGCTTGAAAAATTGATGCAGTTTTTAATGAATCCCAGCCTGAAATGCGGGTAGCTTGGAAAAGAAATTAATGGAATTTCCTTTTACAAAGAGTAGGTAGTTCATTTTATAGGTACTTGAATGAATTAGTTCGCATATTCAGGAAAACTGGATTAGTAGGAAATGAAAAAAAATCGTATGCAATGTGTTGTTGAATGTTTTTTTTTCCGTGTCTTTGGTTCAAGCACGAAGAATTTATAGGGCAGGTGATGACGTTGTCGATATTCAAATTGAGTGATGTCACAGGAATTTTACATACATGGAAAAGAAAGATTATTTTTGATATTAATTCTCACACAACTGGCTCTTTCAGTTAAATTAAAATAAAAACCAAAGATTGCTGTGGTATTTTAAACGTATGTCTTTAAGCAATATTTTCCTTTAATTTTGTCAATGAACTTCAATGTCAAAATATGTCAAAAAACCTGACCAATAAAGAAACAGTAATGCGACGTACGTTTTCGTAATCAAAGCAATCTTTGATTGTTTTTATTTTGAAGACGTGCTACCAATCAAGGGTGCTCAAGCGACAAGGCGAAAACAGCTGTTGCAGTTGTCGCTGGCAGAAGGTTTTGATGCATTGTTGCCAGTTGTGAGAAGAAATATTAAAACTTGAATTTAAAAAAAAAGCTTAAACTGTGTGTAATGATGTGTCAATTCCAAAAATTAGTGAAAAAGCCCATAGCACATATTATCATTGAGAAAATTTTGATGGTCAGATGTAATTTTGTCACTATACCAATAATTACAAAATGCCAACATAATATAAGCATATGGCAGAGTGTTATAGCTACTGACCAAACTAAATGAGTTCAAACTAAAGTGACACTTACAGCGGGAAGAGATAAAAAAGTCAAGTGGGGTCAAATCTGGATGTACATGAATCGAAAAATTTGAATATCAGGGTTTTTTTTTTATTATCAAGGACTGGGATGGGGATAAGGGGAGCTTTATGGAGTGGCAAGCTAGATCCCTCGGTGTCACTAGTATAGAATTTTTCATTCTGCGGTTTCTAAAATCAGTAATTTGTGAAATACCTCCAGCCAGCTCTGACCTTAGAAACAATACTGGTGAAGATCGAGATAATAAAAGACAAAATCAATGGTGGTTTAGCGTTACTGGAAAATTTGTGAATGTGAAACAAATTCACAGCTTCCAGTTATGTTTAAGTGAAAACAGCTCTTCTCATACCCGCTCATAGAGGTTTGATTTTTCAATGGTGATAATACCATTATGACAGAAAACTATCGACTTTTTCAAAAATCATATTGGCAATACCTACTGAAATAAATAAAGTTCAGGTAAAGTTAGATACGATACCACACTGTATAAATCCCATTATAATACTAAGGTGAAACCCCATAAAGAATTGATGGCTACTTAAACGTCTTGAAACAGTTCGTGCGGAAACGAGTCAAATTTTGTGTACCTAGCAAAGTTTATGGGGTACAAATTTGCAATTAATTTCATCCTATAACTGCATAGGTAACAATAAAGCTATTCTGAAGTATTATTGAATTAAAGACTTTTTGTCATTTGCTAAATCCATAATAGTAGATTATACCACGAGTCAATAATGATAGCTACTATTCCCGAGGAATATTTATGAACTGAGCCGCGTTAGCGGCGAGGGAGTAACATTCCGAGGGAATAATAGCCATTATTACGAGTAGTATAGGTACTCTATTTTATTTACAAATTAATTTATTTGAAATTTTCTTTCCAAAAACGCTCTTCGTTCATCCATCTCAATACAAATACACAAGCACTACGCGTTTGACACTGACACTTTTGAATTTGTTCTATACTGTTTCTATGGTACTACCTACTTATTTAATTTGAAAAATTTTGTGATTGGTGTGCAAGCGGGAATAATGACCATTAATCCCTGCGGGGATAATAGATGGCATTAAACTGCCAAAATCACAAATATAATACTTACATTATATGTCAGTCGTAAATATAATAAAGTTAATTTCCAGCAAAAACTAATTATTACTTATATCTACAAATTTAATCGAAATGTCTTAGATAAACACATTTATCAGCAATTAATAGTGTGACTAAGAATTAAAAGTCTCTTTGTTATAGCACATAATTGACCATTAACAATACACGCCTCTTGGTAGATAAAACAATTTAATTGCTAGGTGATACATGGTTAAAGACTACTCATGTTTTCTGCGTTTGTAACAAACAATGATTATATGTTTTTTTTTTTTTTTTAAATGCAATACTTGCAAGACGCAAGTTACTAAATTATTGACTTAATTAAACACTAAAAACAAGATACTTACAACTTTGAGCTTGGCCTGGATTTCCCGTAACTTCCGCCTGGCTAATACCTGTATGTGTGAGCTGACTTGTTTCCTTGTGCGCGTTTTTCCTGTTCTCAGTTTAATATATCGTGCTATTAGTTCGTTTCGACCTGAAATAAACAAACAAATTGGGCTTAAGCAAAACTGAAGTGTATATTTTCATCTTCCGATATCTTATTTAATTTTGTATATACAGCCTAATTTTAAAACATTTAAAAAAAATATAGGATCTCCATGGATCAAACAAGGATGCAGCAAGTATTATATGCTACCGCTAAGAAGGAACTGGAGTCATTAGGTATCGAAATGGTGTGCCAGTGGTGGAATCCATACAGCACAAAAACTACCTGGGTCCCCATTAACTGTCTATTTCCAAAATGTGGTTGGTTTTAGGACAAAGATAGCTGACAGATAGTGCATATGACATCATAATTATGGTTGAAAGTAATTTAAACCCGAACAATCATGACTGTGAACTCAAATGGGAAGGGTATACATTATTTAGGAGTGACCGGTCAGCCGCAACTAGTAACAAAATTAGTGATGGGGGAGTTATTATGTTTGTTAACAACGAAATTAAGTCGCAATGCATTTTGCTTGCCGAAAATCGTGTGTGGAACAACTGTTTTTGTTGTGTCAATTGGAAAAAGTTCAGTTTGTGATCGGAAGTGTTTATCTGCTACCCCTATCCGCCAATGAGGCTTACATTCAGCACTGTGAGTCTGTGGAGTATGTTCGGCATCATCACCCATTTCAAAATATTTATATATTTGGCGATTACAACCTGCCCAATGCACAATGGTCAAATGACGAGTTTGGACTATTGGTTGAGTGCCCTAGAAATGATTCACCCCTGATAATTGCACAAGTGTTTGGGTATTTAGGTCTTTACCAAAATAACAATATTCCAAATAATAGGAACACATTTCTCGATCTGGTTTTTCCAGTGTTTTAGAGTTGGATATTGTTCAAGCTAGGGATATTCTGTTAGATTGTAGTTTGCATCACATAGCATACGAGTGTTCGCTGCCTGTGTCCAGAATGTCCAGCTCTAATAGCAAGTTGTTATACCTATAATGAATTCTATTGTGATTTCAGAAATGGCAACTTTGGTGCACTTAATGACTCCTTGGCATCGGTTAATTGGCTAGAACTTTTTCATCAACATGATGTTAATATGCAAGCAAAACTTTTTTTTATGAGATACTGGCCACAGGTATAGCTTGTTTTGTTCCATTCACTGAAGCGGTATAGAACATCTAGTTTTCCTAAATGGTTCCAGCCAATGACATCAAAACACAGATAGACCGAACATGAACAATAAACAAAATTTTCGTATGACAACATCTCTCTGTCTCTTTTGGGTCTTTGTGCTATCCCCACCAATGAGAATGCCAAATTTTGTCTTGAATCCCTAAATAATATATTTTTCTCCTCTAATTAACATTTTCAATTTTATTTCTGAACTCAATTTGGCAACAGCAGATTATAGCAAAACACCGCCCAGAAGCGGCTTGTTGAATGGCAGGCTGGTGTTGATTGTAGTAGCTAGCTATCTTTATTGCAAACAGGGATTATTCATTAGCGTTAAACAATAAACGACTAACACGATATTGGTACTCCCAGAATAAAGGGCTCGTATCGAATATTTTCAGTTTATTTGTCAATTTGTTATTTTATTTATTCATCCAATTAAATTTCGAGACATATTCACGTGTGGGCGGGGTTTTTTTACACCATTTTGAGCAATGATGTCTCCCTACCCCGACCCCGCGAGCAACTCACCTCCCCTGGCCCATGGGTGGTCTTGTCAACACAACAAATAATAGTTTATGAATGGGATGATCCGTCTATCTGTGTTTTGATGTCATTGGTTCCAGCCGAGTTGAGACATCTGACTGAGGAGAAAAAGCGTATATTGTGACGCCTTAGGAGGCGAATTATGCTGCCTTTTCTCAATTAAAGGCAGAGTGTAAAAGGCTCTCGAATGATTGTTTTACCAATTATGTTAAAGGTATTGATCTGAGGTTGAAGGAGGAACTCAAGTTTTTATGGAAATATAATAATGACAAGAGGTCCAATCATGGCATTCCAGATTCTCTATTTTATGATGAGAAAACTGCTGCTGATGGTCAGAGTATTGCAGATTTGTTTCGGGACTTTTCCAGACAGTATATGTTAATAACAACGCCAGCAATGATCATGAATATGTGAATAATAATATAAGCAGTAATATTGTTGTACAATTGTTTTGCCTCTGTTTCTTATATTCAATACATTATTGCAAACATCTGTTTACCCTGACATCTAGAAAGTAAGTTATATTGTACCAATATTTAAGAGCGTTTGGACGGATAATGTTGCAAACTACAGAAGTGTCTGTATCCAGTCGGCCATTCCAAAGCAAATAATTGACTTGGGCATGCAAGGGATTGTGTCCGGAGGAGCAACCTGGGTTCACTAAGGATAGGTTCACTGCATCAAATTTAGTAGTTTATCAAAAAGATATTTTGCAAAGTATGGAAGAACGCACGCAGGTTGATGCGATCTACACGGACTTTTCTGAAGCTTTGATCGTGTCGACCACCAACTGCTTTCGTATAAGCTACGCAAGGTTGGATTTCATTCTAATTTTTGATCATGGATTGAAAGTTCAATAGTCAACCGTACTCAATATGTGAAAATTGGTTGTTTCTTGTCAGGGGCGGTCCACGTTTCCTCTGGTGTCCCACAGGGTGGCCACTGCTCTCCATTGATTTTCAGCATCTTTATCAGTGACATTGTATCATGTATTCATAACAGCAAGGGGTTGAAATTCGCTGACGACTTCAAGTTGTGAAGGACTGTGGAAAGTGTGGCGGACCAACAACTTTTGCAGGCAGATCTGGATGGGTTGGCTGGGTGGTGTGTCAGTAATAAGCTACAGTTGAATGTGGATAAGTGCTGTTTTATTAGCTTTTCCCGTAAAGCATGTAGAGTGGAGACTGGTTACTTGATGATAGAGAGTTGCATTATGTGTCTAGGGTTAAGAATTTAGGAGTGATTTTGGATGAAAAGTTATCATCTATTGAACATATTGATACTGTTACTTTTACGGGTTCGCAGATAAGTGAGACTTTTTCGAACTTTAACGAATTTTATTAAACAAACATAAAAATCACACGAAATTTAACACTACTTTACACTCCGAACTACTCCAAATAAAGCTTATACGGCACGATTATTTTCGAAAGTGGTTATTTAGTTCTTATGACTTTACAGTTTACTGCACTTGTCGTATGTCAATCAGAACTGATCATTTACGCGGTGCGCACCGGGGCTTTTATAGTTATGTACGTCTTTCTCTAACACGCTCGAATTTTTCGTGTTTCAGTTCATCTTGAAAATAGTCGAATTTTCTGAATTCTTTAACTGTAGTTACAGGGTGCAATCAAAAAGTACGAGTGGCGGGTTTATGATACTGCCCCTTTCCTCAAAGCTGTGCGCCCCGAACAGCTTATCCCAATCGCATCCAAGGCGGTGCGCTCTTGCCCTTGTATAAAGCCAGTCTTTCTATGTGAACGACCTTGGGCTTGGCTTTGGGTGTAACGGTGTAAGTTGTATCCTGTATACCAACTGGTTGATTTTCTTAATGACCTTGTATGGTCCTTCCCATGGTCGTTGCAGTTTCGGACTAAGTCCCTTTCTTCGCTGTAGCTGATACAACCAGGCAGCATCGCCTTCATTAAAGATATTCAGTGATTGCCGTTGGTCGAGTCGAGTCTCATCTTCATTCTGTCACTGGTCAGACGTAGCTTATTTCTGGCGAAATCTTGTCCCACTCGTCTGTCCTGGAGATCAGCCACGTAAACTGGAAGTACAGCCTCGTCTTCATCGACTGGAGGCCTGCCAAATATTAAATCTACTGGAAGCTTCATTTCCCTTCCAGTCAACAGCATAGATGGTGTATAGCCGATGGACTCATGCTGAGAGCTTCTATAAGCCAGAAGGAAAAGAGGCACTAGTTTATCCCAGTCTCGCCGATGATCATCTACAAACATCGAGAGGTATTGATTGATGGTCCGATTGTGCCTCTCGACCATTCCGTCCGACTGTGGGTGAAGTGCAGTCGTCCTCGTTTTTCTTACTCCCAGTAACCTCATCAGTTGTTTCCATACCTTGGGCTCAAAATTCCTTCCCTGATCGGTATGAAGTTCCATCGGTACCCCATGTCTGGATATAACGTTTTCCAGCAATGATTCCGCAACAGTAACTGCTTCCTGATTGGGTATGGGAACTACTTCTGGCCACTTTGAAAAATAGTCCATAACAACCATGAGGTACTTATTCCCTGACTCTGTCGTAGGAAAAGGACCTGCAATATCCACGGCAATTCTCTCCCAAGGAGAACCGGACAAGTACTGCTTCATTTCTCCACGGGATCGCGTCTTGGGTCCTTTCTTAGGAGCACAGAGATCGCATCTCTTGCACTACTCTTCAACATATCTACGACAGTTGATCCAATAATACCTATCTCGCATTCGAGCCACTATCCCTTCACCGTTTGACTCAAACTGGAAATTTCTTGCCATCCAGGTCGTTGTCCGTCTTGTAGCCAGCCACGCATCATTTTCAATTGCTTATCCATATTTTGTTGTCTTCTCTCGTAATGTCTCATCAGTATTCGCGTCGTTGTCGGAATTCTTAAGCTGTTGAATGACTCCAGAATTTTTGGTTGCCTTCTTTTCCTCTTGCCTTTGGCAGAATTTGCATGAGCTGTCAATACATGGTCTTCGTGATAGGCTGTCGGCGTTGTCATGACTCCTTCCTTTGCGATGTTTGATTTGGAAGTCATAACTTTGTAATTTCTCTAACCAACGCGCTATTTGACCCTCCGGATTTTAAAATTGAGCAGCCATTGCAATCCAGAATGGTCGGTTCTAACTAGGAACTTCCGGCCATAGAGAAAGCTGTGGTAATGTTCAATAGATTTTACTAATGCCAGAAGCTTCTTTCGGGTGACACAATAATTATTATCTGCCTTTCCAATGGACTTACTGAAGTATCCAATTACTACTTCTTCGCCGTTTTGAATTTGGGAAAGAACTGCCCCTATTCCACTTTGCGGTGT